CTACAAGAGGGCGCGGGGAAGGGAGGGGGGCGCACTGCATCGCGGGAGTGCCGCCCGAGGCCTGAAAAACGAGACCGCGGGTGTCCCGTGGCCCGGCGGCTGGATCGAGGATTTGGGATGTTCCTCCTCCTCCTCCTGCCCCGCCTCCTCCTCCTCCTCCTCCTCCTCCACCTCCCCCTCCTCCTCCTCCTCCTCTTCCTCCTCCTCCTCCTATTCCTCCTCCTCCTATTCCTCCTCCTCCTCCTCCTCCTCCTCCTCCTCTCCTCCTCCTCCTCCTCCTCCTCCTCCAACTCCAGGTACTTTACATGCCTGGGCAGCTTTGGCTTTTGACTCAAAAATGATCAAGTCCAATTCGAAAGGTAACGAAGCACTCCGCACTTGCGGGTAAGATTGAGGGGGCGGCGAGGACGTCGCCAGTCTGCGAGGCTCTGAAGAAGCCCGCCGCAGGCGCCTAACTTTTACAAATTATGCATCGACCCGCCGCAAGCGCCGTTTTTTTCGTTCAAGCAATGTGGGTGGATCGCGGGGTGGGTCGCGGGTGGGTCCCGGGTGGATCGCAGGCCGCGTCGCGGGTGGGTCGCGGGTGGGTCGCACATGGGTCGCGGGTGGGTGGCGGGGTGGGTCGCGGGGTGGGTCGCGGGTGGGTCGCGGGGTGGGTCGCGGGGTGGGTGGCGGGGTGGGTGGCGGGGTGGGTCGCGCATGGGTCGCGGGGTGGGTCGCAGGGTGGGTCGCGTGTAGGTGGCGTGTGGGTGGCGGGGTGGGTCACGGGGTGGGTCGCGCATGGGTCGCGGGGTGGGTCGCGGGGTGGGTCGCGGGGTAGGTCGCGGGTGGGTCGCGGGGTGGGTCGTAGGGGGGACGACGACAACAAACAACAACAACAACAACAACAATCATTTTACCCGAACGCTCAGTGTTCTCACCAGTGCCAGGGTTTTCATGCGACGCGAGACAATACCCCCACTTCGTGGGGGGGCAGTTCAAGCTCTACCAAATATCCAAACGACTCTTACAACAGCAGCAGCAGCAGCAGCAGCAACAACAACAACAACAACAACAACAACAACAACAACAACAACAACAACAACAACACACACACCACCACCACCAACCACCACCACCACCACCACCACCACCACCAACAACAACAACAACAACAACAACAACAACAACAACAACAACAATTACTAGCACGTGGGGACACTCCGTTCTCACCAGTGCCAGGGTTTTCATAGGAGGCGGGCAATACCCCCACTTTGTGGGGGGGCCGGTTCAAGCTCTACCAAATTTCCAAACGACTCTTCGCCACCACCCACACCCAGCTTCCCGCCCTATGACGTTCGGACACTTCACTTCGTGGCATGCGGACGACCGTGGCTACTATTCAGGGCCCCGCGGCCGACGACGACGGCGTGCGCGCGCGAAGAAAAAACGAATGTGTCCCGCATGGTATTATTTGACAGGGATGATGGCCCTGGCAGGTGCGCAACCGTTGTTGCAGAAGTTCGAAAAAGTTGCTCGCAAAAGCCCGTTTGACAGAAATGTTAAAAAGTGTTGGGTTTCCTACGAATCCGCAAGAGCGCGCGGGATGAGATTTTGACATTTTTTTGTTGAAAAACCATTGGTTTTTTGATGTTTTTATGTTAAAATCGCTACGAAAACTAAGGTTTTGGAAGGATTTCGTCTTGCGCGCGCGAATGTCCACTTTACCTTATTTTTTGCAAGGGATTCTTGAAGTTTGGTTATGTTAGAACAAGAAATGTCCACTTTAGCTTATTTTTTGCAAGGGAAAGCGGGCCGTAACAAAACAACCGGATCCGGACCAACCCGTTTTGCCTGAGACTTCCTCACGAAAATGATGAAAATGTGGCTGCGGCCTAGGCGCGGCGGGGGGGTCGTGCACCAGGGGTCCCAACAATAATTATTCTTTAGAAGTAATAATGTTCAACAACAACAACAACACCAACAACCACACCAACAACAGCAGCAACCACAACACCAACACCAACAACGACAACAGCAGCAACAACAACACCAACACCAACACCAACAACAACAATCACAACACTAATAACAAAAACAACAACAACTACAACAGCAACAACAACAGCAGCAGCAACAACAGCATCAACCACATCAACAACAACAACGCCAACAACACCAACAACTACAACAGCAGCAGCAGCAACATCAACAATATCAGCAACACCACCAACAACAACAACACCAACACCACCACCAACAACAACAACACCAGCAACAGCAACAGCCACATCAACAACAACACCATTTAGTTTACTATCCTCATGCACGCTGTTTCCACACGAAGCATGCGATCATCACGACAACCATCCACATCATGGGGGTCTCTTGTTCTATAGCGGGGTCCGTTATTCCCATCCCCAGATCTCCCGCCCAATGGAGGTCGTGCAAACACTGCCTCCGAGGAAGTTCAACATATCCTGCCTCGAAAACACATGCCCGCTGCTGCGCCGATGCGAGACCGCCACTGGAACCCCAGCCAATGGTAAATCACAAGGAAGTATCGAACGACAGGATTGCCTTGGTAGCGATGGGGGCTGTCGGCGGTGAGGCAAGGACCTGGCTCTGAATAGAAAGGGAGGATGGTCTCGAGCAGGGCTGCTGTTGTTGCTGGGAGCGGCGCCAATGCTGAAGAGAGTAGTGCGCTAGTCCAGCGAAAAACAAAACGAAGTCTCGAGCGGAATCGCTGATTTTGTTGGGACGGCGGCTTTCGGCGGCGAGGAGGAACACCGCCTTGAGTAAGAAAGGAGGAAGCATCGAGCGGGAGCCGTGGTTTTGTCGGGAAGGGGCTGTCGGCGGCGAAAAAGCACCGTCTGAGGAAAAAAGGAGGAAGCCTCGAGCGGGAGCGTTGTTCTTGCTGGGAGCGGCGCCAATTCAAAAGAGAATTGAGCGCCAATCCAGCGTAAAACGGAAGGAAGTCTCGGGCGGGAGCGCTGGGTTTGTCGGTGCGGCAGTTTTCGGCGGCGAGGAGGAACACCACCTTGAGTAAGAAGGGAAGAAGCATCAAGCGGGAGCCGTGGTTTTGTCGGGACGGGGGTTGTCGGCGGCGCCGTCTTCAGCGAAGAGGGAGGAAACCTCGAGCGGGAGCGTTGTTCTTGCTGGGAGCGGCGCCAATTCAAAAGAGAATTGAGCGCCAGTCCAGCGTAAAACGGAAGGAAGTCTCGGGCGGGAGCGCTGGTTTTGTCGGGGCGGCGGTTTTCGGCGGCGAGGAACAGCACCGCCTCGAGTAAAAATGGGAGGAAGCCTCGAGCGGGAGCGTTGTTTTTGCTTGGGGCGGCGCCCATGAGAGAAAGACTAGCGCGCAAGTCCAAGGTAAAACGGGAGGACGTGTCGAGCGGGAGCGCTGGTTGTGTTAGGACGGCGGCTTTCGGCGGCGAGCAAGAACACCAGCCCTGAGTACAAAAGGACGAAGTCTCGAGCGAGAGCGATGTTGCTGTTGTTGGGGGGCCGGTTTGGGCGGTCCCCGAAACCGCTCGAGCGCGAGCCTCATTTTCAATGAAAACGTAGCCGGCACCTCGGCGAGAGCGCCAGGGCGCCTGTACTAATTCTTTAATAATTAACAGTCAACAACAACAACACCACCACCAACAACAACAACAACAACAATCATTTTACCCGAACGCTCAGTGTTCTCACCAGTGCCAGGGTTTTCATGCGACGCGAGACAATACCCCCACTTCGTGGGGGGGCAGTTCAAGCTCTACCAAATATCCAAACGACTCTTCGCGACCACCCAAACCCAGCTTCCCGCCCTATGACGTTGGGACACTTCACTTCGTGGCGTGCGGACGACCGTGGCTACTACACTGGCGTGGGGTACACACCCACAGAACTTGGTCACTTATTCGGGGCGCGCGTGTGCCCAGCATCCTGCAATTGTGACATACAATACATGACACAGACAGACAGAGAGAGAGACAGAGAGCAGACAGAGAGAGAGACAGAGAGAGCGGAGTTGGTCACATTTTTGGGGCAAGTTCCTGAGATCGTCGTGTTTTTTGTTGGTCTTGCGCGCGCGAATGTCCACTTTACATTTTTTTTGCAAGGGATTATTGAAATTTGATTATGTTAGAACAAGAAAAAGTAGCTCGCGCGAGCTCATGTAACACAAATGTTGAAAAACCATTGATTTTGTGGGAGTCGGACAGCGCGCGCGGGATGAAATTTGGACATTTTTTTTTGAAAAACCATTGGGTTTTTGATGTTTTTATGTTGAAATCGTTACGAAACCTAAGGTTCTGGAAGGATTTCGTCTTGCGCGCGCGAATGTCCACTTTACCTTATTTTTTGCAAGGGATTATTGAAATTTGATTATGTTAGAACAAGAAAAAGTAGCTCGCGCGAGCTCATGTAACATAAATGTTGAAAAACCATTGGTTTTGTGGGATTCGGACAGCGCGCGCGGAAGGACATTTTGACAATTTTTTCTTAAAAACCATTGGGTTTTTGATGTTTTTATGTTAAAATCGCTACGAAACCTAAGGTTTTGGAAGGATTTCGTCTTGCGCGCACGAATGTCCACTTTACCTTATTTTTTGCAAGGGATTCTTGCAATTTGATCAAGTAAGAACAATAATTTTCATTTTCTAGTGTTTTTTGCAAGGGAAAACGAGCGTCAACAAAAAACCGGATCCGGAGCTCATCCACTTTTCTGAAGCTTTCGCGAAAAAATGATGAAAATGTAGCTGCGGCCTAGGCGCGGCGCAGAGGTCGCGCACCAGGGGTCCCAACAATAATAATTCTTTAGAAGGAATAATGTTCAACAACAACAACAACAACAACAACAACAACAACAACAACAACAACAACAACAACAACAACAATAACAGCAGCAGCAACAACAGCAGCAGCAGCACCAGCAGCAGCAGCAGCATCAGCAACAACAACAGCAGCAGCAACAGCAACGACAACAATCATGTGACCCTCATGCGCGATGTTTCCACGCGAAGCATGCGACCATCATGATAACCATCCAAATCATGGGGGACTCTTGTTCTATAGCGGGGTCCGTGATTCCCATCCCCAGATCTCCCGCCCAATGAGGTCTTGCAACTACCCCGTCCGAGAAATTTCTACATATCCCG